AGGGGCCATTAGCTATCTATTTTTAGGTCTGTTATGGCTAAATTTCTCAATATTTCGATGTATGGGTCGGTTACATGCAATGGGTTTTTTGCTAGTACTTAAACAGATAGAACAACAGCTTAGAGAGCATATGTTTTTAGGTTTATTGTGGCATTATAACGGCTATAAAGGTATGTTTTGCATTTTTCAAAGATTTATTTTAGCACTATAACAGCCTATTTATTTAAGACAAACCTATTCATTTATCCAGCAAAATAACAACTACAATTATTCGAATTTCTATACCAATTTTAGTAGTATAATGGCTAATTTTATCTGAAAGATAGGTTCATAATCTTATCTTGATGGCGCACCCCCTTCTTCCGAGACCAATTCAATTAAAAGAGAAATTTAATATAATTAACATGAATGAAAATGTGAGTTGAAGGTCCGAAATTCATGTAAGTTGAATGAAATGGAGAGAGAGAGAGAGAGAGAGAGAGAGAGAGAGAGAGAGAGAGAGAGAGAGAGAGAGAGAGAGAGACAACAAATTATACATGCTGATCCGTGGACAATTAGACACACACGCTTGAATCCTCGAGAGAATGATGCTCTAAATTGATGCCTAACGTACCTACTCATCAGCTCCAGAGAGTTGACACTTGAGGGTTCGCTTGTTTTGTGTTCTGTCATCAACATGATAGACCAAACTCAATGTGGTACGAACCTTACCTACATGGAGTAAGCCTTCGGTATCCCTCATCGGCAACCAATATCCCAACATGTCTGATGGAATATTGGAAGCCTCCGAGGGGTATCGAGGACTTCGCCAATTCACTAGAGGGTTCCATTTTTATTCGGAAACATGGTGTAAGCGCTCAAATTCCGACAAAGGAATCCCGATATCTTCCAACATATACGTTGGAATATCGGAAGCCTTTGAGGGACTTTGAAGACTTCGCCAATTCACTTCACAGCTATAAAGCCCTAGATGATCGATGGTATATATAGAGATCGTCTCCACAAGCTGATTGCAAAATCTGATCGAATCTCAAGTTCAGATTACCATATCATTTTTATTCTGATTCTCGGTTTATTCAGCGTTTCGTATATTTTCCCGTCCAGATAAGTTCTACAACCACCGAGTGATTTTGTTTTAATATGAGCAAATTGCGTGACTCCGCTGGAAGCGACACCAAAATGTGCTTGACTCATGAGCTTGATATTCTGTCAAGGATAAAGAGGGGCAACTCTTGTATGGACTCAATTCTCCACTGAAGAGCCGGACGAAATTCTTGACGTGATTCCACCCATTCACGATTACAATAATAATAATCTCAAAGAAGTCCACTCACCTCCTATAAATATTTCCATTCCCTAATAGCCTTTTGCAAAAGTTCTCATCCTTCATGTTTCTAGAGGAATAAAGAGGCTCTATCCATATATGGTATGGTTGCACAGTTGGCTATTTGATGAAAATACCAAAATTGGGCATTCGGTATGGACACAGGAACTCAATACTCTCCACGAAAGCATACTAGTCAAGGTTCGCATAATTAGTGCAATGCTTGTTGTTTATAGGGAAAATCTTGGCTCTAAAGGAAAATGATGAGAAAAATTTTAAAAATTGCAGACCAAGGGCTTCGAATCGTTGAACCGGGTCTAATGGCTGTTGAACGGGGTGGTTGGGCCACTGGACTGGGCAATTGGACCATCGAACCAAGCGACTGGGCCGTTGTTGCGGTTGACACGGACGGTGGTCCGATTTGAAACCGCAGTGTGCCGTGATTTAGGGGCGTTCAGCTACGTTGGGCCTGCATTGCACACGCCATGAGTTGCCAAAGCAATTGACTCACGTGACCGCATTGGGCCCACACTATGCAGGCGCACGTGGGGCCTAGCTTAGCGCCGACAAGGCACCATTAAATGCCAGCGTAGTACTGACGCAGTGCCTGGTTGGCACAAATAGTACCAAGTGGCAAGCGCCAACACTTGATGCTTTCCTGTTGGAGTGTGGTTCATACTCGCCGTCGACAGAAAAGGCATGGGGGTCTCACTCTTTCTTTTGTAATTGAGAATTGTAATAGAAAGGTAGGAGGTATTAATTATAGTAAGATCCTTTGCTAGATTTAGCTCTAGTTTAAGGGTGAACTAGGACAAAATCTTGTGTCTCGATTTCTTTTTCTTGCTTTTGCTCTCTATATCATTGTGTTTGTGAGCTCGCCGCATGGCAATGCCAGCACCTAGGTGAGTGTCATGACCAACCAGGAAGTTATCTGACCAAATTTTAACTAAGCGTAACTTTTCCACCCAACATTCAAACCAACTTGATTCTTGCACTCGCGTAAATCTCATGGCGCTAAATTTATGTAGAGTAGGATCCGATGAAAAATTGTAGTGATCATGGATTTTCAAAATCAAGTCGAATGGACGATCTTAGTGAAAAGGTATGATATTTTTCTTCATTAAAAGTTCGATCGACGTGGATTTTGCAACATGAAAAGCTTGTGACTTTTTTTTATGATGGAATCAACCGGTCGGTCAAATCACAAAATTCCCAACTCCTCAAAGAAGGAAGACTGTGGTTAAAAGTTTCAGTACTTGGAGATCCGGTCGACCGATTCAAGCAAATTGAGTATCGTTAAGAAGCTGTTGATGAGCGTTACCCAGTTTTATCCTTCCATCAAATATTTTGATGAAGTTGTACTCCAGAGAAACTTTGGTTTAACCTTAGGTTAAAAATTAGGTCTCTATGTAAAACTACAGATTCCTCGTTCATTCAGGTTCACCACTCTCTGTGCATGATGGTGACCCATTTGATTCTCCGTCTCCCTGACATAGTGTTGTTGGCTCTCTAATGTCCGTACCTGATATTACTTATGCGATTAATGAAGTCAATTGTCCTACAACGACTCATTGGATGGTTGTTAAACGCATCTCACCATATCCAAAATTCATTAACACTTAGGCTCCGTTCGTTTGGCGAAAAATATTCTTCCGGAAAATATTTTTCGGATTTTCCGGTGTTCGGGGGGCAAAAAACGTTTTCCGTGGAACAATATTTTCCTTCCCCTCCTCACAAAATAGCCAAAGTCTATGGAAAATGACTTCCGCTTCTTCAAAAGCGGAAATCATTTTTCGGTGCTTCTTCTTAGCTTCTTCTTCACTAACGTCGCCGGCCGCCGCCCGCCGCGGGGTGTCGCCGGCCGTCGCCGGGCCCGCCGCCGCCCGCGGTCGCCGGCCGCCGCCCTTAGCGGTCGCCCGGCCGCCCGCCGCCGCGGTCGCCGGCCCCGCCCCGCCCGCGGTCGCCGGCCCCGCCGCCGCCATGATCGCCGGCCGCCCGCCGCCCGCGGATCGCCCGGCCGCCGCGCCCGCCCCGCGATCGCCCGGCCGCCAGCCGCGGATGTTAGCCGCCGGTCGCCGCCCCGCCCGGACGCCGCCGCGAGCGAAGTCGGGCCGGCCGCGGTCGCGCCGGACGCCGCCGGCCCGCCGCCCGCCGGCGATCGCCAGGCCCTTTCAGCCACGCCGGCCACTTATGCCACGATCGCCCATGCCAGCCAGGCCGCGGCCGCCCGCCGCCGTCGCCCGCCGCCGGCCAGCGCGCCGGATGCCGGGCGTTAGCCGTCGGTCGCCGGCTGCCCGCTGCCACGCCGCCGCTGCGCCTGGCCGCTGATGCGCTGGGCCGGACGCCGGATGCGTTGGCCCGTCTTGAAGCTGCTGGCCGCTGCCCGATCCCGCCGCCGATCGCCGGTCCGCAGCCGCGCCGCCGCCAGTAGCCGCACGCCGTCCCCGCCGATGTCGACAATGCGATAAAATCGCCGCCATCGCTGCCAGCCGATCCACACTTCGCTGATCGCGGCCGCAAGCCGCGGTCTCGCCGCTGGCCATGGCCACGGCCGCCGGTCGTGCGCCCGCTGCCGCCCGCGGTCGCGGCGAAAAATATTTTCCAAAACTTTTTCATATTGGTCGCCGAACACCGGAAAATTATGTTCCGGGAAAACATTTTCCAGGAAAATGACTTCCGGGAAAATATTTTCCAAAAGGAGAATATTTTCCGCCAAACGAACGGAGCCTTAGGTTGTGTTTGGCTATCTGGATTTGAGTACGGATAGGAATTATCCTATCTGGTATTTGGCAACGTCCTCCGGACTGGATATATCTAGATAAAATGCCGGATAAGAAATCCGGGACAATGATGAGATAAACTTGAATAGGACAAAAAATTTGAAAAAATAATGTAACCAACTCTTATCTAAAACAAACCCACAATTTTTAACACTTGCAGATGTTTCTTTTCTCTCCAATTGATTGACCAAGGAATCGCCAATGTTCTCAACTCGCTCGCGTTCGCATCAGACGATTGCGATTCCAAATCTCCACACGGTTTGATTATCTGAAATAAAGAATCCATTGAAATCGACATTTCCAACGGAACAACCCCCTCCTCCTCCTCCACGCATGACCATTCATATCTTTTATCTCCTTTGACAATTCGTCCCTTTTAGTTTCTCCTAATTCAACCAGGTCCTCTGCTCTTCCTCCATTGTTGTTTTCACCACCGCCGACGACAACCCCACCGCGCGATTGTCGTCAATGTCGAGACACTGTAGGGAGGAGGGAGGGGGAGAGGGATGGGGCCGATGATCAACGCAGGACAGAGGGGGCGGCTGGTGTGCGCGGGGGACCTGGCTAGATTTGAAACCGTTGGCGGCGGATGGTATAGGCGAAAGCTGGTAGGGCGGAGTGGGCAGCGGGGGGAGTAGAAGTTGGGGCGCAAATGAGGCGCTTTGGTTTGCAGAAGGGGCCACGGGGGAGATAGATATATTTGAGTTTGGGTCAAAATAATTAATAAATGGGGCAACAAACAATAAACCATTCAAGGATGATACTGGAAAATACAATCAATAGAACAGAAAGTTGAACTTTCAAAGATACATGGCCAAACACAAGCTTAAACAAACGAATTGACGGACTTTGCTCTCACACACCATTATCTCCGATACTCCTCATTAGTTTCTTCTCTAAAATTTTGATTGAATTTGGCCAACGACACTTTTATCAACTTGGAATGCCTTGGCAAGAATGTCCGCGGAAGTATCAGGAGTCGACCCAAACACAGCATTAGCGACAGTAATTACACCAGGGTTTTGGCTACCAAGAGCTGCGATAGCTACCGCATTTCGATTTCCAGTATTTCTTTGGAAATGAACAAGGCCTTGAGGGAAGACGAACGCATCACCCTTTTGCAAGATCTTGGAGATGAGGCGGTTGTCGGGGTTGGAAGTGATGAACCCTACTTCAAGTGTTCCTTCGAAAACTGTCAAAATCTCAGTGGCTCGGGGGTGAGTGTGGAGCGGGTTGATTCCCCACGGTGCGATGTCGATGCGCGCCATGGAGATTCCGAGAGTGTTGAGCCCCAGGAGCTGGGTCACGGTCACCGGGGTGACCTTGGAGCCGACAGGGTTTGACGTGTTGCCTGGTAGATGGAGCCCACCGAAGGAGAAGTCATTTGCCTGAACTGTTTTGGGGTCCTTGCAAGCTAGGCCATTCACGAGCACTGTATTTGCGAGGAACAAAAATAGTATTAGAGAAGCAGCAGATGGTATCTACTAGTGAAACTTGAACTTGCAAGATGAGGGAGCAACAAATTTTGAAAATATGCCTTATCTAGAAGTAGTTTGCACGCTAAGTTTTCTAGACTTTATGTTACTGGTGGGTTTTAAGCATCTCCAGAACATCACCTAAGCTGTGTTTTTACCTAACTGAAGTGGAAAGCACCCAAAACATTTCCTATGAATTATATCAGAGGATGCCATTAAGTGTTTAGTTTCACAAATGAGAGCATAATAGAGACAGACTCATTCCACAATATTAGCTACAGAAAAACTGAAGCTTCTCCTAGGCAAAACAGAACTCACATGGTCACGCTCATTTATTTATTACCTGAACTGCCGGCTTGAGCGACACAGAAATCCTGGAGAGAGCTGGGATCAGCTGCCGCAAAAGCAAATGTAAGACCCAAGAAACAAATCAAAACCACACTTAGCGCCATCTCCAAAAGCAAAAATCTTCGCAAATTGAAGAGACCGAGTTTAACTTTAAACAGGGACTTCTTTTCTCTCCGCGAAGATGGCGTGTGTTTATCGGTGTGGATGAAACACTGAGGACGTTGCTAGTGTTTATATGCGTCCAAGAGCAGAAGAGGACGAAGACTCGGATAATAAATAAATATGAGGAGGAGGTCACTTTCTAAAGAAAGAGTCTTCTCGTCTCTGTCTTCGGCCGTCCCTATCAATGAGAATCTGGGTGTTGCCAAATGCAGAATGGACGCAATGCTCTCTTCCATGACAGTGATGATAGTTTATGAACAGATTGAAAGAGATTTGAAAGAAAAGGCAATTTGACGCGTAGGAAGAATCAATTAGCGAAGTTGTCTCTTGATCAAGTACACGCTCGTAGCCAAAACAAGATTTCTTTTTAATTTTAGCAACAAAAAAAAAAAAGATTCTCTTTTTAATTGCCCATTCGGCTTTTGTTGCATTAACAGGCATAAGAAACAGCATTGAGGCTCAAGCTAAATTAAGGTGCTGCAAATATTATGTCTATTTCTTTGTTTGTGCAACATATAGGAAAAGACGGGTAACGATCTTCTTCTCTTTTATGTTTTTTTTTGGCAGCTAATGATTATGGAAATGAGAGTGAAGAGGGTTGATTGGAGAGCTTGATCTATTCATAATAGCCGTATTTAGGCTTATCAATGCACCATATATACTTGGATTCCACATGTTTACACACAAAAAATGACCAAGTTTTGATTATTATTGTTAAGTGATAAACTTGATTGATGAGAGCAGAATTTGGTGAACAACACAAGTCATTGATAAACTGAGCTATCGACAATTTAAAGAGCATCGACAACTCGCTAGTGAAGTCATCGACAATACAAAGTGAAAGTGATCAACAGCAAACAATAGACATAAAAACATAATCATTGGGTGGTTATATTTATTGCCAATGTTTTAGGGTTTTTATAATTTCTAGTGGATAATTGTTCTAGATAATGGGCCCGTTTGGTTCAGCTTTTGGATAGGCATTTGCCAAATGCTGGCATTTGGAATGCTGAACCCAAATTTTTTATCCCCAAACTACCCTTAGTTATTTTGGCTTACTCCGGTTTTGCCCCTCGTGTATACTGTTCATCTTCTTCTTCGTGAGGTGGCCAGTGAGGGAGGCCGGCGAGGCTGCCGGCGCCAGATCTGGCTCGCCGGCGGCCGGCCGGCGCCGGCTCCGGCAAAGGGTAAGTTAGGTTTTTTATTCCCAAAGTCCATTTGCAAAAATAATTCACCAAACACTATATTTTGGCCAAAGTAACTTTACAAAATATTTTTACCAAACACCATTTGCATTTCCCCAATGGGCTTTGACCCAAAGGTATTTGCATTCCCCCAAGTAGCATTTTCAAAGTTGAACCAAACGGGCCCAATAGGAATTGATGATAATGTACATTTTTGTAACCGCCATTATAAACTTATTTGTTAATTTGAATTCCACAATTGTAAACACCATTTGTAATCATTGATCATAGGCTTTAAATATCCACATTGTACTCTTTCAATAAGCCCGAAATCAATCAACGAAAAAACCTATTATTGTTTATCAACTTTATCATTCAATTATCTTTCAATTCCCATACTTTAGTCATAGTTTCAGATATCTCGTCGTCAATTAAATTCCAACGTTGTATCATTATGTCTTGCAGTTTGCCGTCGATTAAATTCTGTCAAAGCTTTTTACGTCATCGAGCTTCATCGTTGATTAAATTCTGTTGAAGTGTATCTATTCCTTCTGTTTCATTGATACAACTCATGTTCGAAATCACCATAGAACTCATCTCCTCTTAATAAAAACCAAATAATGAATTTTGGTGAAAGGTATTTCGTGGACAATCTAATATTGGCGAAACATCTTTTTGGCACGCCCCATGGGACAATTTGTGGTTCGATTTGAGGAAATTAAATGCCAAGAACAAGGAAGCATCCCGAGCCTGACAATGCCATTGGTAACAATCCCAATAGCAGTGACAGGGCTGCGCACTCCAAATCTTCACCGTTAACCGAGCGACAGAAGAAGGCCAATGCAAGAGGGCAAACCTTCCCCGACGTCTCACTAAAAAACAATCAACAGAAGTTGCACAAAATCCTCATATGTTGGCCACCATGAAGAGATTGTTCGAAGAACAACGAAACAATATAGCCACTTACATTGTGAGTCGCATGTCAAACGTGATTAAGACAATCATCATCAATGCCATGAATGATATTTTCTTGACGTCAAGATCGTCCAATCAACCACTACAATCCATCAATCTAGTGGTAAAAAGGTACGTCTTCATTTATTAATGTTGATAAGAGTAGTCAATCTCCAATAAGAATTATACAAAGGCCTTAATTTCTTAATCAAGGTTACAATGATGAGAATAATTAGACTGATGTATAGTCTCAAGCAAGTACCCTTATGCGCGGTTCCTTCATTTAAGCTCTCGTGATCACCCTTCACTTTATTCTTTATGGGCCTATCTATTCTAGGTTTATGCTGGTATATGTGTACGAGATTATTCTGACGGACGCTTCTCATGCCCCATTGCAGTCCTTACTTGCTGATCTTAATCATGACTTTGCAGTGAAGAACTTGGGATCGCTTCATTTTTTTCTCGGTATTGGAGCTCATTTTAATGCGGATGGATTTTATTTTACTCTGGCCAAGTACGTCTATAACATTCTCGGTCCCATTCAAAAATCGGGGGTCGAAATCTAAATGAGTTCAATCGAGTCGCCGCTAATGGTACCTTTTAAAAGAAAACTAAGCTGATTGGGTGCTTGTGTTAAGGTACTGGCTGTACGTGAAAACCAAACAACTGCAGGTTAGGGTTCAATTATGTGTGGAGAAGGATCAGCACCCATACAACATCCTTATCATACCACAATTTTCAATTAATTAATTGAAAGCAATTATAAAATAATTTCCTGAAATTATCAATGCAATTTGATTTTTCCGAGAACGTAATCAAGTGAAATCCTCGCACCACTTTACATCTTGGCATGATTCCATGTGTAGTGTGTGTTTTGAAATTGTGCATACGAACACGACAAGTGTGCAAAAATCTTAATTTGCGAGTGTGTATGCATGTGAAATTGACTAAATGGCGTGTTATTTAACCATGTATGAACACTTTTGACATTCACAGAAACATTTTCATCATTTGGCCCACTTAGACATGGGTGCTTTCATCCTTTCGGCCAAGTGTAATACTAAATTGTGAACGTTGAAAATAGTTTTTGGGAAGATAACCACAGTTTTGAAGACAATTTTTTTAGTGTAAACATGACACGCGAGGGCCTCCGTTCATAATCCAGGGGCCATTAGCTCTCTAGTGTTAGGTCTGACAGGACTAAATCTCTCAGTATTTCGATCAATGGGTCGGTTGCATGCATTGGGTCTTTTGCTAGTATTTAAGCAAGTAGAATAACAGCTTGGAGAATCTATGAAATTTTTTAGATTAATTTCAGCAGAACAGCGGCTATAAAAGTATGTTTAGTATTTTTCAAAGATTTATTTCAGCACTATAACAACCTATTTATTAAAGAAGAACCTATTCTTTTATCCAGCATAGTAACAACTACATTCATTCGATTTTCTATACCAATTTTAGTATCATCACGGATAATTTTATTTAAAGACAGGTTCAGGAATCTTACCTTGACGCCGCACCGCCTTCTTCCTAGACCAGGCTCTCTCACAAAACAATGGATTTACCATCAAAATAAGACCAAGATGGTCAGTACCAAGCAGTTTAGCTAATTCGATTAAAAGAGAGAGAGATTTGGTTTAATTAACATGAATGAAAATGTGAAACGAAGGCCCTGAACTCATGTAAGTCGAATGATATGGAAAGAAAGAGAGAGACAACAAATTATACCTGCTGATCCGTTGACAATTAGACACACACGCTTGAACCCTTGAGAGAATGATGCTCTGCGTAGTAATGATAAAGTAGAATGCACTTGCAGCAAAACCATTAGAATCGATGCCTAACATACCTACTCATCAGCTCCAGAGAGTTGACACTTGAGGAGGGTTCAGTTGTTCTACTGTTCTATCATCAACATGATCGACCAAACTCAACATCATACGAACCTTAACTACATGGAGCGAGCCTTCAATGTCCCTCATCGACAACCAATATTTCAACATATTTGATGGAATATCGGAAGCCTCTGAGGGGTATAGAGGACTCCGCCAATTCGCTCGAGGGTTCCATTTTTCTTCATAAACATGGTGTAAGCCTTCAAGGTCCGACAAAGGAATCCCGATATCCTCCAACCTATCTGTTGGAATATCGGAATCCTTTGAGGGACATTGAAGACTTCGCCAATTCACTTCACAACTATAAAGCTGTAGATGATCGGTGGTATTTATAGAGAATGTCCTCTTTGGCTGATTGCAAAATTTGATCGAATCTCAAGTTCGGATTGCCCCATCATTTTTATTTTGATTCTTGGTATAATTCAACGTTTCACATATTTCCTGTCCTGATGAGCTTTATGGCCATAAAGTGATTTTGTTTTTTATATGAGAAAATTGCGTGGCTCCTCTGGAAGCGGCACCAAAATGTGCTTGACTTATGAGCTTGACATTCTCGTGAGGATAAAGAGGGGGCAACTCTTGGATGGACTCAATTCTCCACTGAAGAGCCAGGCGAAATTCTTGACGTGATTCCACCCTTTCACGATTAAAATAATAATAATCTTACGGAAGTCCACTTACCCCCTATAAATGTTCCCATTCCCTAGCCTGTGGGAATCCATAGCATGATAATAGCCTTTTGCGAAAGTTCTTATCCTTCATGTCTCGTGAGGAATAAAGAGGCTCTATCCATATGTGTTAAGGTTGCACACTTGGCTATTTGATGAAATGCCAAAATTGGGTATTCGGTATGGACACAGGAACTCGATACTTTCCATGAAAGCATACACGTCAAGGTTCACATAATAAGTGCAATGCTTGTTGTTTATAGGGGAAACCTTGACTCAAAAGGGAAATGATGAAAAAGTCTTAAAAATTGCTGAGCAAGAGCTTGGAATCGTTGAACTGGGTTTAATGGCCGTTGACCGGGGTG